TGTAGGGATTAGGTAATTCTTTGGTGCCTTTTTTTTTTTTGATAAATTTTTGGGAATTACAAAAAAAAAAAAAAAAAAAAAAAAAATGAAGAAAAAGTTTCAAAATTAATAATCCATATTTATAAATATTTCTATTACCAATCATCATTTTATAAATAATAATAATAATCACACACATTTATAATATCCATTTATAATTTTATTTTTTACAAACAAAAAAAAAAGAAAACTTTTTAATCCTGTACATTTTACATTTCAGAATCTTAAACTACAAAAAAAAATTTCATCTATTTTTCTGACCAAATTCACACACACACACAATGACATCATTAGGAATCTCATTCAATTTTTTCATACTTTCTTTTTTTCAATCATCATCACTACATTTGGTTTTTTTTATAAAAACAAAAACGGCAGCATCCCACCAAACAATTTTCTATCTGAATTCATTCATTTGAAGCAAAAATGTTTAGTTTTTTTTACAAATTCTGTTCAAAATCATCAATCATCTCTAGTCCTTATTCCTCTCAATGAAAATAATTGAATGCGAAAAAAATTGATTTTTATAAAAAAAAAATTATTTGAGTTACAAATAGTCACTACATCCGATTATATTTGATAAAAAACACATTAACAAACGGTGTCCACTGGACCGGTGATTTACAAAAAATTTATAATTTCAAAACATGCAATTTACAACTTTTTATAGTGCCTTTTCTTTGTAATTACACAAATACACACACACACACACACACATTGATTTTATAAACTTTTAAAATTGATAAAATAAATGGAAAAAATTTATAATTTTATTTTTTTGTGCAATTTTTTATTATTTGTATTTTCGTTATTTATAATTTATAAATATATTATTATTTTATTTTTATCTAGGTGAAACATAAGGTGTTGGAATTTTAATTCTCGGTGATTTTGATTTTCCTATTTTCCATATCGGTTCTTTTAATGGTGATGACCATTTTGGTTGATTTTTAGCAATCATTTTTATACGATTATTCCACCATGTTGGCATTTTTGGCATATATTTTGTTCGTATTACTGTTGATACCGGTAATGGTGGTGATCGTGGTGGTGATTGTCGCCGATATCGTTGTTGTTGTTGTTGATATTGTGGTTGTTGTTGTTGTTGTTCAATCAAATAATCATCATTATAATATAATTCTGGTGATCTTTTTACTTTTTGTCTCATTAATTTTAATTTTAATCCTTGTGGTACAAGTAATGCTTCACTAACACGTATTGTTTGTTGTGTTGTTCGTGATGGTGAACGTGATGATCTTGTTCGACGTATTGATCGTTTTATTGTTGGTGGTGATCGATGATGATATTTTCCAATTTTTCTTCGATCATCATAATCATAATCATAATCATAATCATCATCATAATCGGATCGTCTTCGTCGTCGTCGCTGTCGTCGTTGTTGTTCTGATTTTGTCATTCTTACTTTTCGATCATCATAATAATCATCATCATAATCATAATCATCATCATATCGATCTGTACGTATTCTTTTTGATTTTGGTCTTCGTGTATCATTTCTTGATGGTCTTCTTGACAATCTTCTTCGAAACCATGATGACATTCTTTCGGTTGTTGATCTTATTCTTCTTCTTTTCATTATTCTATCTTTTGGTGATCTTTCTTTTGTTGGTATTCTTTCTATTGATGATCTTTTTCTTCTTCTAATCCATGATGATTTTCTACTTGTTGGTGATCTTTTCATTGTTTTTAATGTTGATGGCATTTTTTCAGTTTTTGTTTTTGTTATCGATTGTATTGTTGTTTTTGGCCAAAGATTCATTTTACGTAATAATTTTTCCAATAATGTTTTCATATCAAATGATCTTATTGTTTCTTGTCGTTTTGGTGATGATGATGTTTTTGGTGATGATGATGATGTTTTCGGTGTTTTCATACCTGCTATCCATCTAATCATATCTTTTTTACGTATTATTTTCATTTTTGTTGGTTGTTGTTGTTGATTAATTGTTATATTTATTGTTTTTCTATCCATTGTTTTCGATATTGTTTTTTGATCATCCATTGTTGGTGTTGTTAATTTTGTTTTTTTATTTTTCATCATAAATTTTGTATTTTGTCGTACTGCTGTTGATAACATTTTACTTATTGGTGACATTTTTACTTTTATATTAATCATTTCAGTTGAATCTTTTGTTTTAATTGTTTTTGGTTCAATAAAATCTAATGTATGTCCACCGGGACTTGTTGTTTTCATTGTCATCATTGTTGAACGGGTTTTTGCCGGTGACATTGTTCTTGACATTGATAATGTTTGTTTTTTTGATATTGATGGTTGTTGTCTTTTTTTTGTTATTGTTGTTGGTTGTAGTTCATCAATACCAGCATACATTTGTATATATTCTTTTTTAGCCGCTATTATTTGTAATTTTTTTTTATTTCTTATTTTACTACCAGTAGTACGTAACATTCTTATTGATGAAATATTTATTCTTTTTTGATCATGTATCTGTGATAATGGTAATTGTCCTTGTTTAATTAATAATTTATTCGATATTCGTAATTTTATTGCCGGTTTTTCTGTCAATGTTAATGTTTCTTCCGATAATCTTGATGTTTTATGTTCACCAGTTAATGCTTCATCCGTTAATGTTTCCTTTTTTTTTATCGATATATTTAATTTTGTTCTAGATGATGATCGTTGTTTTTGTTGTTGTTGTTGTTTTTGTTCATCTTTATCTTTGATTTTTGTTTTTATGATTGGCTCTTTTTGTTGTGATTGTTGTTGTTGTTCTTTGTCAGAAAATTTAAATGCTGAAATTTTGGCTATTAATGGTAATTGTTCTTTTCCATTTGTCGGTATTGCATCTACAACTGATAAAGGTGGTTCCGCTTTAACTTCAGAATCTGGTGCTTGTTTCGCTCCACTATCAATAACTGGTACTTGTTCGGCATCACTTGGTAGAACATCCGCTTGTTCGCCATAACCTTCTTGGTTAACATCCGCTTGTTCGCCATAACCTTCTTGGTTAACATCCGCTTGTTCGTCATAACCTTCCATAACATCAGCTTCTTCTTCTAATACATCACCTTGTTCAATCATAGCTTCATCTTCTTCTCCTTCTCCTTCTCCTTCACCTTCACCGGCTTCAATATCTATTTGATTTTCTTCACCTTCATCCGAATAATCATCATCAGACGTTTGCTTTTTTCGTTTTTTATATGTACACAAACCGATTACGGTTGTCATTGTTGTTGTTAACATTAAAATGATCGCCAATAATGACATTTGAATTGGCTGATCTGAATTATTGATTTCGGAATCATTCAAATTTTTTCCAAAATCAAATCGTTTCATTTTTATTTACCATACAAACAAAACAAACCAAAAAAAAAAATTAATTGAATTCAATTTCAAATTCTAATTCAAATTATCGAAAAAGTTTAATTTATTGATTTATTTTGTTTGTTAATAACAATGATTAATCCAAACTAATACACAGAGATTGATTGATTGATTGAAATGTAAGATATAAAGGATTATTATCATCATCAAAATCATCATCTGATAGAATCATAAAATGTACACATAATAGCGATGAAAACTAACAAGAAAAAAATCTCTTTCTGTTTTTGGGATCCAAGATTTTCAAAGAGAGATTTTTGTTTGTTGTTGATTGATGGTCACGTTTTGTGTTATATATTTTCTTCCTTCTTGCACAAAACGATCAATAACGGTCTCGATATAAACCAGAACGATGATGATGATAATGGTCACGATGTAATTGTTGTTGTCTACCATCATTCGATGAATATGTTCGATATTGTTGTTGTTGTTGATTATGATGATGATGGTGATTATTATTATACGAACTTGCTGTACCAGATGAATATGATGATGATAATGTCATACTAGTTGATGAATAACGACGATGATGATTACCATTATCCAAAGGATACTATTTTATAAATATGAATAAATAAAATTAGAATTTTGGAAAACCTAAAACAGTAAAGATTGAATTTAATTTACCGGATTCGATTGAACATAACCACCTGTTCGATAACTAGATGAATGATAACCATTCATTGATCCATAATTATTGTCCGAAGAACGTGTTCGTGGTTGTATTGTTCGATTATAGCGATCTATTTTTTGTTTTTCGATGGGAGGAAAACAAAATATTGATAAACATTATTCACAAAACAAAACAAAAAACACAATATTATTCACATACCATCACGTATACGATTTGAATAAAAACCATCAGGATAATCCAATCGTTTTCTACTAGAAAACAAACATATCATTAGGTTATTATGCAAAAACAAGTAAAATTTCGTTTTTCCCTACTTGATGGAATGAAGAGATAATGTTGTTTCGGTTGTCGATGATGATAAATGTAAAGATGTTTTATTACGATAACTATCATGACGTGTTGTTGTTGTTGTTGAACCAGCATTATTATTATTACTATCCATAAATGGTCCACGTGAATGACGTTTTCTCGGGCGATTCAATGTTTGTTTTTTCATTCGTTTCAGCATTGGAATTAGATCGACAAAATCATCAGCAGGAAATAAACGGCAAAGTTCTTCACCTGTTTTTGGTTCAATTTCCTGGCCATCACGTGCAATTTTTACTGGTTTCGATTCATTAAATGCATTATATAAATGTGATGTATGTGTAAATGGTAATTCATTACGACAAATCCAATCAATAAAAAATATACCACCAAATGGACAACTTTGTATACCAGGTGGTAATACCCACTTAACTGGTTCTAAATCATATTGTACTTCGGATGATAGTCGTGCAAAACCTTGAAATTTTCCACTTTCTTTTACCGAAAATATTAATATTACATTACGAAATTCACGAAATGCACTATTCAATTTCATTTCATTTGGTAATGGTGTTGACCAAACACCTTCACGTTTACTTATTTCAACATTTTCTTCATTATTACTTTTCATAACAAAATAACAACTATCTTTGAAAAAATATTTAATCAATGATGAATAATCGCGTTTTTTGGCTGTTGTTGATGTATTTTTCTTCAACGATGATGGCGATTGATTATGACGATTATGATGTTGATGTCGATGATGATGACGATGATGAGCATGTCTTCGGCTACGTTTAAGGCCATCATCGCCGTCGTCATTATCATCATCATTATCATGGCCATGTTTCCTTTTACGTCCGATTTTAGCAGTGGGATCATCATCATTTTCACCATTACCATTATCATCATCATCATTAAGATCATCACGTAAATTTGTTGATTTTGCCACCGTACGTGAATCGGAATTTTTGGTTATTTTTATTTTTACTTGATAAAACAAAAAAGGAAATTAAAATTAAAATTTCAAAAGAAAAAGATAAACAAACTTACAGCTTGGAGATCGTGTAAATGATTGATATGAATGATTACTATCGGCATTCGATGCACGATCATCATTATCATCATCATCATTTTTATCTTTCAAAGTTGCAGTAGCAGTTGTTGTTGTTGCTGTATTTGGTAATTGATGATCATCATCACCACCCGGACCAGTAATTGAACTATGATCTTCACATGAACAAGATCCTGAATCACAACTATATTGTGATTGACATGATGCTGATGATCGAGATGATTCATGTGATTTTGATCTTCGTTGTTTTCGATCATTATTATTTCCACCACCATTATTTCCACTTGATCGATTTGTCAAATTATTATTCGACTATTTCCACAAAACAAATGTCAAAATTTGTCAATTTCAATATCAACTACTATACCTTGTTGCCATTATCTTTTGATGATGATGATTGTGGTTTGATTGTTGAAGATTTTTTCTTCAAATCCAAATCTATACGATCAGAAATGAGAGAAAAACAAAGTTTTGTAAATTATTTTTTACTGAAAAAAACAATTCTTACTGTTATTACGAGCCAATGTTTTATTCTTTGTCGTTGTTGTTGTTGCCAATCTTGTACGATCAAAATTTTTAGCCGCTTTTAATTCGGCATCAAAATCTTCATCATCACCATTATCCAAAAGATCATCAAGAACATTACGTTCTTCATTCATCATGTTTTTTTTCAATTATTCTTTTTTCCTTGTTTGTTTGTTCGTCCAAGTCGTTGTTACTAAATTCAACATCCAAGTGTGCGTGACCTTTTTTTTCTGTTTGTTTCATTTGATTTGATTTCAAGAAAAATTTTTTATTATTTAAGAAAAAAAGAAACAAATTATTTTTTTGGTTTACACAAATTCAGAGGGTCATCATAATTCCATCAAAAAACAAAAAACAACAAAAAAAACTGATCGATGACCAACGATATTCATCCATCATCATCATCATCATCATAATTTGATGCAAAAAAAAAAAAAATATTCAATTTGAAAAAAAATCCATCCCATTTGATTTTTTCATTTCAAAAAAAAAATTAAAAAAATATGGCGCCTAATCTGTGTTGTGTAATGGAAAGTTCAGTGAACATTTAACCCTTTTTTGTAAAAAAAAATTAATAATGAAATTTGCATTTATTTACCACCAATTATTATTATCATTATCATCAATTACACTCACTTTGGAACAACAACAACAACAACAACAAAATTTTCAACAATAAAAATAATAATATCACAATTATAATTATTGAAAATATCACACATCTAAAGATGTTTTGTCAATTTAAAAAACAAAAAATGATGATGATGAATGAATGATACACCACACAAATAACACACAGAATAATGATGATGATGATGATAAAGGTGTTAATTCAATTTGATTCAGTAATGAAAAAAAAATGTTGTTTGTTTGTTTGTTGTTATTATTATGACCAAAGTACAATATTTTTATTACGATCAGCACTTGCAAATAAATTTCCTTTTGGATGCCATTCAACTGCAATAATTGTACCAATATGTTTATCGGTTGATAATGTTTTCAATAATTTTCCTGAAGAAAAATCCCAAAAANTTCGACTATTTCCACAAAAAATGGATAAAAAATGTCAAAATTTGTCAATTTCAATATCAACTACTATACCTTGTTGCCATTATCTTTTGATGATGATTGTGGTTTGATTGTTGAAGATTTTTTCTTCAAATCCAAATCTATACGATCAAAAATGAGAGAAAAACAAAGTTTTGTAAATCTTTTTTCCTGACAAAAAAACAATTCTTACTGTTATTACGAGCCAATGTTTTATTATTCTTTGTCGTTGTTGTTGTTGCCAATCTTGTACGATCAAAATTTCTAGCCGCTTTTAATTCGGCATCAAAATCTTCATCATCACCATTGTCCAAAAGATCATCAAGAACATTACGTTCTTCATTCATCATTTTTTTCAATTATTCTTTTTTCCTTGTTTGTTTGTTCGTCCAAATCGTTGTTACTAATTCAACATCCAAGTGTGCGTGACCTTTTTTGTTTGTTTGATTTGATTTCAAGAAAAATTTTTTATTATTTAAAAAAAAAGAAACAAATTATTTTTTGGTTTACAAATTCAGAGGGTCATCATAATTCCATCAAAAAAAACTGATCGATGACCAACGATATTCATCCATCATCATAATTTGATGCAAAAAAAAAATCATCCCAATTTGATTTAATTTTTTTTAACAAAAGAAAAAAAGGTTTATGGCGCCTAATCTGTGTTGTGTTGTGTGGGCAGTGAAATCAACATATTAACCCGTTTGTTTAGAAAAAATTTGCATTTATTTTTATTTACCATTAATTAACCATTAATCACACACACACACTCACTTGGAACAACAAAATAATAATATCACATTATAATTATTGAAAATGTCACACATCTAAAGATGTTTTTGTCAATTAAATTTTTTTTTTCTTCAAAAATGATGAATGACACACCACACAAAATAACACAGAATGATGATGATGATAAAGTGTTAATTCAATTTGATTCAGTAATGAAAAATGTTGTTATTATGACCAAAGTACAATATTTTTATTACGATCAGCACTTGCAAATAAATTTCCTTTTGGATGCCATTCAACTGCAATAATTGTACCAATATGTTTATCAGTTGATAATGTTTTTAATAATTTTCCTGATGAAAAATCCCAAAAAAATATTTGACTATCATTACCACCACAAGCAATATATTGATCATTTGGACTTAAACATAACCGGGTCCAATCCCAACCAATTGTAAATGAATCGGCTGTATAATTTTGTACAAATGAATTCATACGCAAATCTAAACAGGTTAATTTATCAACATTACGTATAGCGGCAACCAAATAATGACCATTATTCGTAACATTTAATGATGTAATTTTACCCTGTAATTGAATTCCGGTTGCTGATGATGTTTCAATACGTGAATCCCAAAATCGTATATGTTTATCAATATGACCACTGGCAAAAAAATTTTCATCACGATTAGCAATATCGGTACATGATGAACCGGCAAACAATGTACGCATACAAGCATTACGATTTAAATCCCATACTTTAATTGTTTTATCATAACTACCCGATACAACTTTATTATTTACAGACATAAATTTTACTGACATTACTTTATTTGAATGACCAGTTAGTGTACGACGTAAACGAAAATCATTTAATGTCCAAACACGACTTGCATAATCACTTGATGATGCAACTAAATATTCTTCAAATATATCAATAGATGTAACCGATGCATTACTACCGGTTAATACTTGTATCAGATTGATTTTAATATCATCAAAATTCCATAATTTTACTTTACGATCACCACCACCACTACTTAGATAATTTGTTTTTTTATCAAATTTTAATGCATATATTTCATTATGTGGTTCGAAATTTATTCTCGGTCGTTCAGGTATTATTACCGTAACAGGATTTTCAATCAAATTTACTGAATCATTTTCAACATTTGATGTAACCATAATTCTATTTGCATCATCTTCTAATTGTTTACGTAAACGTTCCTGTTGTAAACGTATCATTTTTTCATTCTCTTCATTCATTATTTCAGCATCTTTTGCTTTTGTTTCCATAACTTTCGTAACCAAATCATTATATTGTTGATTTAGTTTATCAAATTTATTTTTTAAACTATCATATAATATTTGTAATGCAGTATGTTCATCAATTAAACATGTATTCTGTCCTTTTAAATCATTTATAACTTCTTCATATGCACGACATTTATCTAACATACAATCTAAATTTATTTTTAAATCAGTTTGTTTTGATTTTAAATCATTTTTTTCTTTCATTAAACTAGTTATTTTTGTATTCAATTCAATTATTGTTGAATCTTTTTCCATTATACATTTTTGACATTCTTTTAAATCATTTTGTAATGATTGTATACGATCATTTAATGTTGAATTTGTTGCCGAAGTTAATGTTGTTGTTGCTGTTGTCGATGCTGTTGATGATGATGATGGTATTGGATTTGACAATGTTTGATTATCACAATTCGCTGTTGTTGATGATGATGATGAATTTGATTTTTCTCTTTGTAATGAATCAATTTTTTCAAACAAACTAACACATGTTTGTATCACAGATTCAAATGGTTCATTTGTTTTACGTTGTTGTTCTTGTAGTTGTTGTATTATTGATTTTCTCCATGTTGGATTTGTTGCTGTCGATATGATGGCCATTTTTTATTTCATTTATTTAATTTTTTGAAACAAAATCAATCAGTTGATTTGATGAACTCTAAGGCGTTATTTTCATTTAGAAATTGTCTTTTTTTTTTAATTTGTGTGTGTGTGTGTATCGAGTGAGTGTAAATTGATAAATTTTGGTTGACTGAAAAAAAAGAGATAAAAATAAAAAAGAGAGATTCTTTGTCAAACAAATTAAAGATCAGTCTTGTATTTTCAATCGAAAAAAATATGGTATCCTTTTAGAGAGAGAGAGAGAGATAAAGAAACATATCATCAAGAAAATATCGATATTTTGATGGTATCGATATATCGATATCGAAATCAGAATCGAATAAAACTTGATCGAATGAATTGAAAACAACCAATCAATCAATCAATCAATTTCGAATAATAATTTTGTCCAAATTTAAAAAAAAAACCATCATCCAAAATTAAACTGGATGAAACAGGAAAAAAAATGTTATCAAATGTGGGTTCAAAACAAACAAACAAAATTTTCGATGAAACTAACATCACACACACGCACAACAACAAAAAAAAATAGGCAGAGATTTATCACAGAAAAGAGTCGAATAACACCTTTGGAAATGTTTTACATAATTTTTTCAGCCAAAAAAAAACAAGAAAAAAACAGAAAAAAATTGATGAAATTATGGTGAAATATGATGGAGATTATTAGGTAAAAAACATCAAACAACACAGAATTGATACACCGAAAGAATTGATTTGATTGAAATCAAATCAACAAAATATCCATAAAATGTTTCAAACGAAAATGAATTATGCCCGAGAAAATGAAACAAAAAAAAAACATTTTCAATGTCAACATTTTATCATCATTGATGATTTGATGATTTTTTTTTCACTTTTTTCAATTTTATAAAGTCAAGTTTTTTTTCATTTTAAAGATAACAACAACAACAATAAAAATGTCGTTATTATCAAACAAACCTTTGGATATTTTTTTTTTGAAAAAAATGTGTTTCAAACAAAACTCATAAACAGAATAAGCAAATTCCAAAAAAACACGTTGTTTGTTTGTTGTTGAACGCCGGAAATTCCGTATTTTTCGTTGATTTTCAGGTAAATTTCACAATTAAATCAGTTTAACAAAAAAAGATCGTTGATCATCGATGTATTGACGGTTTTTGATTTGATTTCTTCTTTGTCTTTTTTTTTATTCTTAATCGAGATGAACAACACAAAATTCAGGATAATAACAAACACAACACTATTTGGCAGATTCTTGTTCTTCTTTTTCGTTTTGCTCGATCGAACAATAACAACAGACAAAATAAAAAACATTAGTAGTAGCATTAATAACAACAACATCTTTGGTTATATAAACACAAGAAGTCTTGTGGTAGTGGCAAGCACGAATGAATCTTGACATAGTTTTTATGAAAAGATTCAATCGCGATGACCGTACATAAATGACGAAAACTAAAAATTTTTTTTCCACGGTAAATGATTGGCGGTAAATTTAAATCAATTTTTGTAATTTTTTTTTTTTTTGTAATCTTTGTAAAACCGATTTTTATTATTATTTTTATAAATTAAAAAAAAGGTAAAACATTATGAAATGGAATGTATCGTTTGTGTGAAGAATATCAATATTTGATAAGAGTTTTAAAAAATTATTCTGCAGACTGTAAAACTGGAATTTTTGTTTTTTTGTTTTTTCATTCAAACGGAAAAACAAACAGTGTTTTTTTTGATGAGATTTCTATGAAAAAGTGATAAAATGATTATGAATTCAATTCAATTCAATAATAAAATCCTTGTGCTTTGTTCAATATTTTCTCATTCAGTATGGATGATGGCACATTTTGTAACGGATGTATGTGTGTGTTTATTCAAGTGTTTAAATGTGTGTGTGTGTGTGTGCTGTCGATTATCAATGTCATCAGTCATTTGGAAATGTTTTGAATGAAAAAGTAAGAAAGAAAAGAATTATACATAACAAAAAAAAAAAAAATTAATAACAAGGTAAAAAACCTGTAACAAATTACATATTTTCTCCTATATATATCATTCATTTGTCACCGCAAAAAAAACAACAACAAAAACCATACAGACAACGAAAAATTGTTTGTCATTGAATTTGAAAGAAATCAATCAAATCTCGTTCGTTTTGTTTTGTTTGTTTTACATTTGTTGTATAATTTCATATTTTTTCTTTAAATCAATTTGTGTTTTTTTAATATCCTGTTTTTTACGTTGTGCAATTAATTGACGCATTTCGGCTGCTGTCATATTAAGATTTAATTCTGTTGAATTACCACCATTACCACTACTAACATTACCACCACCATTATTATCATTCGATACAATACGTTTTGTTGTTGTTCCATTCGATTGTAACTTTTTCTCATCAATTTCATTGTTATTATTATTTAAATTTGATTCAGAATTATTTGAAATGGGTGATCCATTAATATTGTTACGATTGTTGTTGTTGTTCTTCGATGATGATGTTGATGACGATAATGACAATGATGATGATGATGATGCGGATGCTGATGAATCGATTGATGATGTTATACTTGCTGTACGATTATTATTATCAATTTTTCCATTATTATTACTATTATTATTATTCGATGTTGTTGTTGTTGTTGTTTTTATTGAATTATTTCCATTATTTTGAATATCATTATCATCATTATTATTATTATTTTGTTGTTGTTGTTGTGGATTATTATTATTATTATTTAAGCCCGTATTATTATCTTGTTTCGATGACGATGTTGTTGTCGATGATGTCGTTGATGATGATGCTGATGATGATTTACGACGATTCAATTCATTTTTGACCGCCTATTTTTCCCCATTGTCGTCAGATTGAGCACAGAGAGATCATTTTGATATATAAAAAAAAACAATAGAAAAAAACAAAAAAATTGGTTTAATTAATATCATTTTGGATAAAAACATTTATATATTTTGTAAAATGAATTGAATTTAGGAAAACGAGAAGCATGGAAACATGTTTTTTTTTGTTTCTCCAATGATGATGATTAGGATAAGGATAATAAAAAAAATTTTATCAACATCATCATCTAAATTAAACGAGATCGAAAGTACTCAAAAGATAGATAGATTGTGACTGAGTAAATGTACTTTAGTAATGTAGTTTTTTTTGATATAAAAAAATAATAAAGATGTAAAATCAGGAAAAAAACCTTGAATACTTTTGATTTTTTTTTTGGGGTTAAAATAGTTGTCCAATTTGAATCCGGATTGAATCAAACCGAACCGGATCGAAATAGAATCGAATCTCGATAAAACTTTACAGAAAAAAACGCCAAATTTTTTTTGTTTTCTTTTGTTTGAAAAAAATTTTCAAATTTTAAAACCTACCACCAACGCATCATTTATCCATTATTCTTTTGAAATAAACATAGAAATTCAAATTATAATGATGATGATGATGATGATGATAAATCATTGTCAAAGTTTTTTTTTCTTCGAACAAAAAATAATCATCAGGTGTGTAGGATTTTTTGTCAATTGTTCTAATCCCTATTGTCATATTGTGTTTGTGAGTGGGGGGATGCATACTGACAATGCTAATCAAAAATAACAAACTCAAATAATCATAGCTGCATAAAAGATAATAAAATTTATTTTAAAAAATCAAAAATTCCAGGTAACAACGCCCCAGCAAGCCAAAAAAAGAAAAAAGGATGCAATATTGTCTATTTATGCCGCATCCGAAACTGTCTATTTTCTCTCTCTCTCTCTCTCCCTCACTATTTTCATCTATTGCTAATGCTATATGTCATTTTATAGTCATGATGACATTGACGATTTTCTTGCCTAAAATGTCAATCAATCAATCAATCAATCAATCCGTTTATAATTAATTAAATTATCAATTTAGAAAATTAGGCCAATTTAAAAAAAAAAGAAAAGAAAGAAAGAAAAGATTTACCTGTTGTTGTTGTTGTTGATTTATTAATGAAGATGGTTGACGTATTTGTATCATTGGATCAGATGATGATAATGGTAATGGTAATATACCTTGTTGTAATGGTCTTGGTATTGGTGTACGATAACAAATAACATTCGATTGTGTGGATTTTATTATTAATTTACGTTCACGATACCAACGATCACCATAATCATCAATAACTAATAATCTTGTTTCATTTGTTATAGATTTTATACGTTCAACAACTTGACGATGATTTTCATTACAAATATTAACAAAATTTACTTCAATAATTTTATCACCTTCACGTAAACCGGCTAACATTGCCGGTGAATCATCATCAACTTTACCAATATATTGTCCTTGTTTAGTTTTTTCAGCATGTAAATTAAAACCATAACCATTAAAATCTGGCCATTTTATTAAATGACATAAACGTGGACATGGTGCATCAATATAATCACCATTATTTATATTATTACCATCACCCATACTACCATTATAATCCATAATGTTGGTGGATATTGTTTTTTGTGGATCTTAACTTGAAAAATTCTTCAAAAACCAGATAAAGACACGTGCGGAGAAGAATTCCTGACGAAAAACGCAAAGTTTTTTTTCACAAAACTTGATGAAATAAGAAGAAGCAGAAACAAACAAAAATGGCCAACCAAAAACAGAACCAAGAAAAATATCAGTCAACACAAGAGAGAGAGCTTTTTTTACTCATCAGGCACACAAAGCTTTCAGTTCAGTTCAGTTTTCAGTGTATATACACAATCGGTGTTAGTTGGCCAAAAAACACAGAAAAAAGTTTGCTTCCACTGTAGGATTGGACACTGGACTTGAGTGAAATGAAAAAAAAACTGGACAACAAGGCAGCAACAGAACAGGCACTTGTTGCTGTCGATGATGATGATGATGGTGGAATGTAATAAAACCGAATTGCCAACAAATCAAAACAAACCAAACAACAACAAACTGCTATATGGAATGGTTGATTGAAGTAGCTGAAGAGAGAGAGAGAGAGAGAGAGTGACGCGTTGAATCTGGGTTTTTATCGTCGTCGCTGTTCATGCAGCAAAAAAATGTTAATTTTTGATGATTTTTTTTCGAATGGAGAATTTTGCTCAAATCAAATTCAATTGGGAAGAATATCCAAGCCAAAAAAACACAGAAACGATGTTAACACAGAGATTAACGACGTCAACAAAAGAATGATTCGAATCGACGAATGACGATTGTGTCGATATTATCGATTGTTTATGATGGTTGGTTGTTGATGGATGGACGAATCAAAATCGAATGAATTTTTGGGAATGAAAAGATAGTGGATGTAATGATGTTGTTGGATAACAACAAGTGTAGGATGGATACATTTGTTTCTCTCTCTTTTTATGATTTTTACAAAAAAAAAAGAAACATCATATTTTCGATGATAATAATGATGGTAACCACTACTATAATTCCCCAACAACATCAACAATGTTTGAAAAAAGACACGGTTCTCTCTCGTTTGTGTGTTTGCTTGTTTCTCTCTCTCTCTCCACCGATAACGATGATGATAATAAGGATTTTCAATGATGAAGATAACGACGACAACAACAACAAAATGAAAATGAAAACACTTGTTGCTTGCTTGCTTGCCTGTTTGTTTGATTGTTAGTTTTGTTTTTTTGATTAATGAATGAAACAAACGAAAACGAAAATGAAATGAAAAATAACAACCAAAATGAAAAAATCCTAAATCCAGATAGCAAATTTTTGCTTTCTAAAGATATAATCTTGAATGAACGAACAACAACATCGAAGATTGATCATGACACATGTATCAGTTGTGAAAAACAGATGTTTTTCTGTTTTCACTGTTTTTTCAACCTGGCCGAAAAAAAATATAAATCATTTACTTGTCACATACACACACAGACAAACAAACAAACAAAAACTAAACGAAAAATCGAAAGGGTTTTTTCTTTACTGATCCGGGTCTGGATATGAAAAATCAATTTGAAAAAAACAAAACGAAAAAAACGTTTTTGAAACAAAACAAATCGTTTTGGAAAATTTCATTCGATCGATCGATCGATTGATTGAATGGTACTACCAATCACCAATCAATCAATCAATCAAAACCTTTGGTTAAAATCTGTTCAAATTTCAAATTTTATTGATTATCGACATCGCCACCACCACCACCACCACCACCACCAACGCCATTATCATTATTATTATTATTTTGTAAAATCCTATTATAATAACAAAAATCATGTACAATTAATCCATTTTTTGATCCATTCGTTGATGTTGATGATGATGATGGTAACCAAACAAATTTTGAATCAATCAATTTTGTATGACATAGAAAACATTCACTAATTTTGTTTNACCGATAACGATGATGATAATAAGGATTTTCAATGATGATGGTGATAACGACAACGACAACAACAAAATGAAAATGAAAACACTTGTTGCTTGCTTGCTTGCCTGTTTGTTTGCTTGTTAGTTTTGTTGTTTTTGATTAATGAATGAAACAAACGAAAACGAAAATGAAATGAAAAATGACAACCAAAATGAAAAAAATCCTAAATCCAGATAGAAAATTTGTTTTTTGCTTTCTAAAGATATAATCTTGAACGAACATCGAACAGCAGCAAAATATCAGATGTTGATCATGACATGTTGTTGAAAAACAGATGTTTTTTCACTGTTTTTTTCAACCTGGCCAAAATAAAAAAAAATTATAAATCATTTTTACCTGTCACACACACAGACAAACAAACAAAAACTAAAACTAAACGAAAAAAATCGAAAGGGTTTTTTTTACTGTTTTTTTTACTGATCCGGGTCTGGATTGGAAAATCAATTTGAAATTGGGCAAATTTTTGTTTCAAAATTTTTCTTTTTGAAACAAAAAAACGTTTTGGAAAATTTCATTTAATCAATCGATTGATTGATTGAATGGTACTACCAATCACCAATCAATCAATCAAACAAACAAAAACAAAACATTCGGTTAAAATCTGTTCAAACTGAATTTTATTGATTATCGACATCGCCACCACCAACGCCATTATCATTATTATTATTATTTTGTAAAATCCTATTATAATAACAAAAATCATGTACAATTAATCCATTTTTTGATCCATTCGTTGATGGTAACCAAACAAATTTTGAATCAATCAATTTTGTATGACATAGAAAACATTCACTAATTTTGTTTGGACAGGTCCGTTAATAAGTTCAACACGTATGTTTCCATGTTTCCATCCAAATGTTATAATCATAATGGATCAGGATGGAGATAAGAGATGTGTATGTTCCAAGAAAACAAAACAGGATTAGGGAAGAAAAGAAAAAGTTTATCGTTAAGTGATTGATTTTTATCATCGAAAACAACAAACCTGTTACGATCAATCCGGATCGACTTATTTTCTGTTTTTCGTAATTTTTGCTGTTGTTTAAGTTGTTCGGCCATAGATTTAGCTAATAAACATCCAAATGATGATTGAAATTTTTGATTATAAAATCGATTTAGATTATTAAATAAATTTAAATAAATTAATTTTAATGGCCATTCATCGGGTAATATTTTCAATGTTTCAATCATATCAAAATGACATTCCGGATGATTTACAAAATTTAATAATGGTTTCATTACTTCCGGACCATTTCTACGTTTTTGAATGAAAAAAACGAAAAAATCAATCAAAATTCAGAAATCAAAAATCAATCAAAAAACCAAAAATCAAAAATCAATTTTCAACAGAGTTTTTCCCCTCTCTTTTTTTCTGTCTAAATTCTGATAAATTAATTATCTGGCACGAATCCTAATGGTTTGAAAAAATTTCCAATGTCAAATATTATTACTATTTTTATCAATTATCAATTTGAAGGTAAAGGTAATCATTTAATCATAGAGTTTTTGCCAATTTCAACAACAACAACAACGACAAAATATGCAATTTTTTTCCATCAGAAAATCAATCAATTAATTAATTAATTTTCCCAATCAATCACACACACACACACAGAAAGAGAAAGAAAGATCAAAACTAAAGGGGTACAATTGTACTTACTTTCGATATAAATCCAAATAAATTTTTAATAATGTTTGATAGATTTTATGATGATTATCATCATCTTTTTGATTTGTTTGTCGTCGACCATATTCAATACAATGTCGCAATGCCTGGTGATAATCTAAATGTTGATCATTCAAATAGATTTCAAATGCTTCGCGATGTTTACCCATTTTTCCCATTAATATTGCCATTTCATAATCCAAATTAACATTCGATAAATATTTTTCAATAATTTTTTGATCATAATAATCCGATTCTAATAATATTTGTTGTAATTTTTCTTTAATTTCTTTATAAAAACTGGAATTTTCTTCTTCATTTTCATATTGTATGGAAAGAATTTCAATATAAATTCTTATTAATGTTGTATGAATATTTTCATTCGTTAATTGCATTTCATTGATTAAATATTCCAGATATTTTATCAATGCCATACGATATCGATATAAATTTCTAATAACAAATTCAGGGTTAAGTATTGTGAATTTATCATTTTCAAACCGGGTGTTTGCAATCAAAATTCGGGAACCTTCTAGTTGATTTTTTTCCATTATAAATTCAACATGATTCATAATCAACTGGACATTTGAACATTTGATTAATAATTGAATTAATTCTTCGATACCTGGATAATATTTATCATCAATTTCGGATTTTTCCAATTTCCGAAATATTTCTACAGATTTTTCCAGCTGATTTCTGGATTTATAATACAAAGCCCGATGATAATGAAGGTTATTTTCAATCAAATAACGTTCAATAAGTTCGCAATAATAATTATCCGAGGAATTTTCCCGAAAAAATTTCCTTATCAATTCAGAATTTGAAGAATCGCATGATAAATTTTCCAATAATAATAATAATTTTGCTGTACGGATTCGTTTGAAATCAGTTTGATCCAGATCATTACTTTGGATCAAATCAATATAATCGATAAGAAATTGATTGATTTGCGTTTTATCCAATTCTTTACGGATCTTATCCAATAACGTTTGAATATTTTCATCGTTCATCGCTGTTGTTGCTGTTATTTTTAATCTTTTTTCAAGATTTTCATTCAAACTCAACAACAAATCAATATCACAATGACCATCGAATAGAAACCTTCGAGCTTGTTGAAAATTTCCATTTTTCAATTCAATAAAACCCGCATGTAATTTTATCAATTCCAAACGTTGATATTCTTCGATAGTCATCATACCTGATTGATAAAGATTTTCATATAAATCAATTGCTTCTTGTGTTTTTTCCCTTGATAATAATTCATTGAATTGTTTTTGCCATGAACAACGTTTCATTTGATAAATACGTGATTGTTTTGTTACAACAATAATCTGGCCATCAAAATTATCCATATCCAATCCATTTTCCAAAAGAAATTCTTCTTTAATTTTTTGATCAATAATATTGATTATGGATATTTTTCCAGATTTTAAACATAAAATATATGGATATGAATAAGCAATTTGTAAAACCTCCGGGCCCCAATTGATTGGTGGACGTTCCGAAATACCGGAAGTTTTTATAAAAACACCCAAATTCGAAGGTCCATTAATTAAAAATTCATTACGTGATATATATTTACAAATTGGTAATTGATATTGGGATGATGATGGTTCATAAGGGTTAACACATAACTGTTGTTGAGATCCATCCATCCAATTGATAATAAAATAATTTGAAATGGATGCCATGCAGATAAAATAACCATCCATTGACATTATTAATGGTTGTTCCGTAAGATTAATTTCTTTCAACAAGGTTAGTTTATCTCCGTTTATCAAACCAATTTGAATCAATTTACGTTTAGCCAAACAGATTTCCAATTGAAATGGATCCATTGTAACGGGTGATTCGTTCAATGTGAATGCAAAAATATTACGTAAACGAAATGTTGATATTAATTCAAAATTGGTGGTTGTGGATGAATTCATCATTAACAATTGATTATCACAATGACAAATCAAACGATTCAATATCGGGAGGATTTTCAGTTTATTTACCGGTTTTTTTAAACCCAAATATTTTACAATTCGATTTTCCAACGATGTTTTCGATGTCGATGATTGCAGTAGATTCGGGTAGCACAAAACAAATGAATCGATTGTACCAAGATAAACATCATGATTATAAACTTCTAAACAGGTGATCTGTTGTTGGATTTTTGTTTGAAAAGAAACGCAAAATTAAGAAAATTAGAAACACTGAAAACATCATTTTTTTCAAAGACCGGCGGCGTTTTTCTCAAACAAACCTGTACAGAAATTTTATCATTAATCTTGATATCATCATCCAATATTGGTATGATTTCAAAACATTTTATATCAAAATTTTCGGACATTTTTTTCAATTTGATTTGACATTGATTGATTCAAGGAAAACAAAATTTTTGATGATTTTCTGGAATCTGATGATCAAATCCAAAAGAATCCATCAAAATCAGCTGCAAATCGAACAACGATCCAAAAAAGAATTCGATTCGATTCGTAGTGCCATCTATCGATTAAACTTTTTGGTCGGTATCGATCATTCGATCGATTTGTTGTTGGTCGTAAAAAAATGAATGAATGAGCAAAAATCGTTTGCTGTTGTTTGTTTTGGTGGGGAGTAAATCAGTCTTTGTCAAAATCAGATTTTAACCATCATTCATTATCATCATTCATAATCGAGGTGTTTTATGGCTTTAATATTTGATTGAGATGATAATCTTGTAGTGTTGTCAATCCGCACGACAAACTCAGCCAGAGCGATTTGCCTATGAGCAAAACCAATTTGAATTTAAATTTTTTACGAAGAAATCCTTTATCTCAAGGAAGTGTGTTTGTTTATCATCTATCGTGGACAAATCTACTTGTAAGTAAAAATGTTTTTCCTATTTGAAAATTCAAAAAAAACAACAATTTTTTGGATTTTCAAAATCAAAATCTCTCGCACTTTTGTTTACTAAATTCTTTGACCGGGCGTTATTTTCCTTGATTTTTTCCTTCTTGGTTATTCGATTGGCGCATGTTCCAGGAACTTATTCTGGGAATATATATAGAGATCAAATCATTGATCAAATAACCCATTGTTTATATAGTGATATTCTTGGTTATGATTATTATTCTGTGGTCAAAAACTATTCCATAATAAACACTTAGAAAAAAAGAATATTCTTGATTCGAATGTTTATTTTCAATGTTTTTATTTTTCTCTTTTTCTCTTAAAATAGAATTTGGTTTTCAAGTTTTTGGTTTTTTGTCTTGGTACTTGGAATCAATATTATGATTCAACAAAAATCCTTCAATTCATCATCATCATTTGAATAATAATAATAAAAATGGTTCTTGGTAAAATATTTCGTATATATCATAAAACGGATAAAAATAATGTCTATTCAGTACTGTTGGAAAATAAAAATGATCGTTCCGAATCATTATTATTTGAATCTGGTTGTATAGATATTCTTGGTAAGTTTTTTTAAACTCTGTTTTTCTTTGATAAAAACCTTTCATTTTAAATCGTGATTCTTTTTCAATCATCATAGGTACACGTGAAAATGAAGCTATAAAACCATTATATCATATGTTAATGGATGTTTATGGTTGTCTTGGTATACTTAATCTAAATATCGGTATTGATCAACAACAAAATTATTTAGTTTGTATTGTAAGCTGTGTATCGATTGGAAAGATACAAAATTCAGAAATATTTTGTATAACGGAAACAACATTTATTCCATTACAACATGGTCATCAGCAACAACAACAATCCGAATTAGATCGTATACAAGATATTAAGAAAATTCTTAATTCACAAACATTTTATTTTTCATGGACAACACCACAACAACAACAACAATTATCAACAACAACAAAAAAATTTGATTTAACCATTTGTTGTCAACGTTTAGAACGTATGAATGAAACTGATAACCGGTTTTTTTGGAATCGTATGTTTTATCCATACATGAAATCATTCAATGTTAATACGGATCGATGGTTATTGAAAATAATGTGTGGTTTTGTTGGTATTAATACTGTTTATGTTGGTCATCAACAAGCAAAAGCATGTTTAATATCACGACTGTCATGTGAACGTGCCGGTACTCGTTTTAATGTTCGTGGTTGTAATGATAATGGAAATGTTGCAAATTTTGTTGAAACCGAACAAATAATATTACTTGATAATAATAATATTTCATCATATTTGATTGTACGTGGTTCGATACCATTATTTTGGGAACAAACTGGTGTACAAGTTGGTTCGCATAAATTACGTTTATCCCGTGGTAATGAATTATCACATCCAGCATATGAACGTCATTTGGCAATGTTACAATATCTGTATGGGAAACAGGTGATTATCAATTTGGTTAGTAATAAAGAAAGTGAATTTATATTAGGTTCAATGTATAAAACACATCATAAATTATCATATTTTTCAAATGATATACCATATATTGCATTTGATTATCATCATTATTGTCAACGTGGTCAACGAGAAGAAAATCTAGTTACAATGTTGAAAGAACGTGTAAAAAAATATTTTGATGAATTTGGTTTTTATTATTCAATTGGCACGGGTAATGATCAAGATGGCGGTAATGAAAACCGAATGCATCAAACGGGAACATTTCGTATAAATTGTATTGATTGTTTGGATCGTACAAATCGTGTACAAACATTTTTCGGTTTAGAAATGCTCAAACAACAACTACGTATATTACGATTGGATGAAAAATCAACAATTGTTTCGAGATTTACGGAAGTTTTTAAAAATATGTGGCAATCTAATGGTGATCAAATAAGTAGAATTTATGCTGGTACTGGTGCGCTGGAAGGAAAATCCAAAATACGTGATGGTACATTATCGGTTGCACGTACATTTCAAAATAATCTTTTCGATTCGAATAAACAAGAAGCATTTGATATTCTATTAACAGGGAAATTATCAAATATTGATTATATGGAAAAATTTCGTTCATTATTACCGAATCATTATCTTCATCTACCATCATCGTTGTTAATGTCTATTTATGATAGACATTTTGAATATACAAACGTTATGGAAATACGTATTGCAGTCGGTACATGGAATGTTAATGGTGGTAAACATTTTAATAGTATTATTTATAAAAAATCTGATCCACTATCAGATTGGCTATTGGATTATAATCGAAAAAATCAACCCCTAGGTAATCAGATAAACATTTTGGATTTATCATTGGATGATTCATTAAGTTCATTGTCAAAACCGGATTCACCTGATCTGTATGCAATTGGTTTTGAAGAAATTGTTGATCTTAGTGCACAGAATATTGTTGCAACAAGTACAACAAATCAAAAAGAATGGCTTATGGAATTGGAAAAAACTCTGTCCAGAAATGAAACATATGTACTGGTTACATGTGTACAATTAGTTGGTGTTTGTTTGTTTTTATTTGTTAAACCAAAATTTGCTCGCTATATTCGTGATGTACAAACGGATACAGTAAAAACTGGTTTTGGTGGTGCAACCGGTAATAAAGGTGGTGTTGGTATTCGTTTACGTTTATATAATTCAACACTATGTTTTATTTGTTCACATTTTGCTGCCGGCCAACACCAGGTTCAAGAACGTAATCAAGATTTCAAAGAAATTTCCCGCAAAATGTTTCAATCAATTGGAAAGAAAATCAAATCACATGATTATGTATTTTGGTGTGGTGATTTTAATTATCGTATCGATATGCCGATTGATGAATGTAAACAATTAATCTCGGAACAAAAATGGTCAGAATTATTAGAAAAAGATCAATTAAAATGTCAACAACAAGATGGTTTAATATTTCATGATTATCATGAAGGACAGGTGGATTTTGCACCAACATATAAATATGATATTAATAGTGATGATTATGATACAAGTGAAAAATCACGGATACCAGCATGGACTGATCGTATTTTATATCGAAAATTTCAACCAACTAGTTTGATGGAAAAAGAAACAAATGAATATAATTATGGTGAAATTGTATTCTATGGTCGTACGGAATTGAAAACATCGGATCATCGACCAGTAATTGGTGAATATAAAATTGAAATTTTACAATCAGATTTTGATCGTTTCAATCAAGTTTTTAATGATGTTATTGAAAAATCTGGTCCTATTGATTCGACTGTTATTATCAAAGAAATTAACCCGTTGGATCCATCGAAATCATTTGAACCAATGTATATTGAAGAATTAATTAAAAAAATTAATGAACAAATTTGTCCTATAGTTTTGGCTGGTTTTGGTGATGATCATATGCGTATTACATTGAAAAATGGACAATCAGCAATACAATTAGTACAGATGGGAATTTTTAATGTTTTGGATAGAAAATTTCAAGCTGAATATAAAACAAAAAATTGGTTAGAATTAATACAAGAACAAATTGATTTGGGTGTTTGTAATACAATACCATTGATTGAAAATACAAAAAAATTAGATATTGATCAAATTTATAATGATAATAATTATAATTTTAAAAAATTAATTACAAATCAAACGGATTTAGATCAACAATTAATTATTGATTCAATTTTGATTGATGATCAATCGATTAATAATCAATCGAATCAGCAACCTGTACGACCACCACCACCAAAACAATCAAGTTTAGAAACGGGTGGAAAAGAGAAATCGGTAGCACCTGTAAGACCTGCACCACCACCACCACCTGCAACGAAGAAATCTTCCGAAAAGAAAATTATCGATGATATTTTCGATACATGTAATAATAATGATGATGATAGTCCGTTGTCCATTAATGAAAAACTTCCACCACAACTACCACCATCAAGACCACCTCCAATTAGAATTACACAACAGCAAACGGCACAAGTACCACCACCACCCCCATCAATGCCAAATAATGTTGATCATAATGATTATGATGATTATGATGATGACAGCGATGATGATAATCATTTTAATTATGATAATGATGATGATGATGATGAAACAAATATGCCGAATATACCTGCACCTGTTCATCCAGCTTGTGGACCACCACCGGTGGCTGCACCATTACTACCGGCGGCTGCACCACCACCACCAATTCCATCACGTCGATTACCACCATCAATACCACCACCACCACCACCAGCAATTCCACCACGTGGTAATTAATATTAGATCTGTTTTTTCAAACACTAGTCATTATTACCAAAAAAAGAAAAACATTATCAAGTGACATTAATTCATGTTTTTTTTCGTTGTTTGATTGCCAATTTCAATTTCAATTTCAAATTCAATTTTTTCATTGATTTTATTTTATGAAATTTAATTTTAAAGTTAATATAATTAATCCATGTCTCACTCTCACACATACACAGAGATCATACATATCTTTTAAAAAGTGTGTGCAAAGTTTATTTAGTTTAAAAAAATCGATGAATTTTCCAGGTGTTGTTGTTGTTGTTGTTCTATATAGATGATTAAGTAATGTCGTAAATTATAGAATATTTTTCTTTGTTGAAAAATTATATAAAAAATATTGTTGTTGTTGTTGTTAATATAAATAAAAATATTTGTAACCAAATTTGATGATTACAAAATTGAATTTGAAGAGAATTTGATGTTAAAGCCATTGGACGTAAAATAGTAACATGATCTTGTGCTGATTTATAAGGGTTTGAACCATCATCAAAATATAATGGACAATCATCATCTAGTAAAGGTAAAGGTAAGTCAGGTTAAAGTGATGTAAGGTAAAACAAAGGCGAAGGTGAGGTAATAAAGTAACTTACGTTCACGTTCATATTCAATCATTTCTAATGCAACTTGTGCACCTTCAATAGCATGACCACTTCGGACATCTTGTCGTATATGACAAAAAGCCCCTACTGACATTGACATAAGTATGGCATTCAAATCGGAACGTTGATAAACCCAACAACGATATCGGCTATAAGCATCCAAACTATCATATGTAATAAGATATGATTTAAGATTTTCTTTCCAATACGCAATACATTGCATTTGATAATCCGGTTGGCTATAAATATCCACCGGTAAACCGAATTGATCAACCGACAAACAATAATCAGCATCAATATTTAGAATTTTTTGATCACTATCACAAACAGAAAAATCTGATATATTTGCTTTACAATAAACATTTGGCCTGGGGAATTGTGTAACACCACCACGTATACGTGTTTCAAACAGAATATCACCGGATTGTTTGAAACGAAATTTCCCGGCTATCGGACATTTAATGGATACGGGATTTTTGGCTATGAGAATATCATATTTCCATTCATTTTCCGAATTAAACATTGTCCATGCACAAACGGTTGAAAAACGATCCATAATCATTGCCTGTCCTTTACGATAACGTATGACATTATGATGTCGGGGTAGAAATTCAAAACAAACATAATCTTTTTGACAACCATTTACACCTAAACGTGCCATTACAAAACGTGTACCACGTTGTTCTTGACAAACGAAAATTTCCTGTTTAATACGACCAGTATCTGGACGCCATTTTTCAATCATTGTTGTCGAATTGATTTGAACTTCGGCATCGAAATTTGCCGTATTTATCCATAGGCCACTAAAATTTTGTGGTAATGTACATTTAGCCTGTACTAATTCAGTACGTACTGGAAATAAACGTAAACGTTCTGGTCCTTCTTGTGGTGATTTCAGTGTATTACATTCGGCTGTTATCGATACGGATAAAAATTGATCATCATCACGATTGGATAACTATGATTTGATCGAAAAAAATGGGGAAAGAGGTTAGGTTAGGAAATAAAATAAGGTCAGGTTAGGTTAACCTGACTCAACAAGGCAAACTTACAAAACAACGATATTTTTCTTCAACACGTGATTCTCTTGAATTAACAACAGCAAAAAAATGATTTTTCCCAACATACCAATCACCTAAACATTTAAATTGTACTTCAGCATCTTCAGTTTCACGCATATTTATACATTTACGATAATTCATTAAGAATTGTTGATTTAGATTGAAAAATTGTGTACCAGGTTTTTGACATGCCGTAATATTAGCTTCTTCATGTATACATTCACCAGTAAATTTAAAACGATTTTGATAGGCAAAATTCCAAACACCTTCTAAACTTGAACGGCAATTTTTACCGGATGGATTTGTTGCTTTATAAAGGAAAAAAAACAGGAAAATTCAAAAATTAAAAAACCGAAAAGTCAAAAGTCAAAAACCAAACCAAACCAAACATACAAAACATGGTTATCATTTCCTTATTATTATCCAATGAATTTTTACATAATGAATCATAACTTGGTATTAAATTTTGATGATAATTTTGTAAACAATTTGCTAAAGTTTGAAAACGAAGAAAAAAAAATTAAATTAAAAAAAAAAATTTTCCATCAAGTCAAGTCAGGTTAGGTTAGGTTAGGTTAGGTTGAATTTTCACATAAAGTCAAGTGAGGTTAGGTTAGGTTGAATTTTCATCATTCATCAGTTCAAGTGAGGTTAGGTTAGGTTAAACATTTAACTTACTTTCAATTTTTTCCAAAACATTTAATGTTCGTATTAGTATACGAACACAAGAAATACAATCAGCTTTTTTTAATAAAAATGTAAAATTATCATAACTATGTTGTACCATTTCTAAACAAAAACCACGATTTGAAAAATCATTTTCAGTTATCTGTGTATATATGTTTTGTCCATCTTCACGTGAAAACCATTCACCACGTAATGTTGTTGGTATATTACAACGTTGTTGTTGT